TCAATGTAAGACTTAAATATTTCAGGAAAATATTTAGCACAGTTACATTTTTTAGTGCCAAATCACAACAAAATGACATCTTAGGGTATTTTTTTTAATAAAATGACTGGAAACAAAACTTTAGTACATTCTCCTTCATTCTAGTCATTCTTCATGTGATAATGTGCTGCCGTTGCTCAAGTGCACTATAGTGTAAACAGAATCTGTGAAGCGACATAAAAGAGCCAGAGACTGAGACACGTATTGCGTAAACAGGCCGGTACTTTGTGATTTTAAAAAAAGACTGAAGAGAAAATAGCGGCCTGGAAGACTAAAAGTAGCCTCTCCACCACAGATGGCCCCCACGCTTTCCGCCAGTGGGTCAGTGGGTGAGCGAAGAATGGAGGCAAGAGGAGAGGAGAGGCTGTGGCTGTGTGCCGCCATCCAAGGGAGAGCGTGGGCGAAGTGGGCAGCAGGAAAAGAGAAACACAAGGACTTCTAAGGCCAAGTGGGCCGAGGTATTTTGTGAACAGTGCTAAAAAGAGACATGATGACGCGCAGAGGTCAGTCAGATGATTCGTCATGAGCTATTTCAGCAATGATGGAAGGAAAAATGTTGACATCACAGTGCTCACATCACTTTTTCACCCACATTCTTTCTGATTATGCAATTGTTAAAGCAGATACATTTGATACGGTTTGCTGGATGTGATAATGTGGAAAATTAGTGAACCGCAAGGTCAAAGGAGCTGAAAACTGACCTTGTTTGATCACCTTTTGGTGGGTTTTGTTGTCAATATGAGGAGCTTTTAACCTTTCATCTGCCTGAAAATATTAAGATCTAATTATTTGAAGCAAAAAAAAAGAAGAAAAACTCCCTTCTGAATATTTTAATGGTTTTTAAATTATCTTATTGAATTTATTTAGTGCAAATACACAATAAAATTCTTCTTATGGCACTTTACAGAAAAAAACAAACAAACAAAAAAACAAAAAACAAATCATTCCCAATGATTGTTTTTTTTTTTTTTTTTATGGTCCTGTCCAAGCAGACGTAGTCAAACACAGAGAGAAAAAGGGACAATTAATAGGAAATTATTTTTGCACAACTAAATATCTTAGAGTCATAAGATTGTTTTGTGTCTCACTGAAAGAAACAATAACCTCACACAATTACGATAAAGCAGGAAAGTCCGAATGAAATATGTAGTAACAGCCAAAGGCCACCAGAGGGAGAAAGAGGGCCCTACTCATTCTGGTTGCGTTTACTGCCACAATACCTCGTAAGCAATAAAATACGTACACAAAGTTTGTAGAAAGTTTTTTTTTTTTTAACTTTTAGCCATTTTAGAGATTTGCATTGGCTTTATTTTAATTACTCCAATCATGCCTAACTTTACCAGACCTGATGAGCAACAGATTTAAAATGTTTCAGTTATTTGATCTTAGAAATAAACTTGACTTTCTTGTAAATCAATGGGTTTCCTCCCTAACTTAATAAAACAAGTCAAATGACACCATTTTGTTAACTTCTTTGTTTAAAAGCTCAGAATTAAATCCTTTCATTGCCACACTGTTAGATAAAAATTTCCACTGCTTTTGAATCTGTAACTGTTGCAAATGTGACTTCCTCTGAAGTAGTCATCCAAATCTGCTTTGTAACTTTGCGATAGTAGCATTAGATGAGCCGAAGTAAACCCATTCCTTACGCTTAAGATAGATCAAGTCCTAACAGCATTTCTGTCTTAACAGCTGTCTTACAGGGCCTTGTTACTGATGAATCCTATTGTGAGATTAGTGACAGCAACAGAAGGGTACATATAAGGAGATCTACAGCAGGAAGAAAAAGAAAAAAAAGCCAAAATGTGTCTCAAATCAAGAATGGACCCTAATGAAGGAAAAATTCAGGATTGGAACTGAATGGGTGGAAACAAAGCACCTCAACTTCGTCCTACGAGACATCCTCCATGTTTAATTGTGCAGGAGGACTAATTCTTCTGGAAGTTAGAAGAGCAGAGCAGAGCATGTCTTGAAGATTCATCCTTTCCGAGAATGACTTTTCTTAACACCTCTAACACTTGAATAACTCACACTTACTCTGTTCTTCTTTACCGGGTTAATGTGAACTTTGTCCCTTTTAACTGATTTAGCTCTTAATGCTCAACACAGGGTTTGAGCTTACTTCAAGTTCCCTGCTGTAAATTGTTGAGTGCTGCTAGACTGAACGTCTCAAAAAAGCACATAAACTTTTCCAAACTCTCACCTGATTTCAAACCAAAGTGGACATTTATGAGAATTATGGTAGTTATTAAATTGAAAAAAAAAAAAATAAATGTTGTGCAGTTCAACTAGAAGGGCAAAAATATAAAGACGTGACTCGAGATGCAAAGGAGACCTGATCTAACACGTATGTACACATTTGAACCTGTGTGTATAGATTGTAGACTTGAGAAAATCCTGAATCTTCATCACTGAATCTTAGACAATTTTTTTTACATATTTCTCAAAACTTGGTATCAGCCAGAAGGGAAATGCTGCCCTCGTGTGGTATGTTGTGATTATATTTTAGAAATATTCCAGCTTGCTTTACTGTACTAATGACTTTATTCAGCATGCATTTGCATGCTGTGTGCGTATTTCCTCTCTCAGCATTACGTCAGATAGTTTCTGCTCGCTAGGAAAAGCAATGCTTACGCTGGTCCTGAGTGTAGCTGACCTGCTGGCTATATTCAGAAGCAAATTGGATTTGCATTGAGCTTGACCTGGAACCAAGCCACAGGTTGCTTGGAAAGTTTACCAGGTCATTGACCGGAGGAGTTAAGGGAGAAAGCCTCTCTTGTTCACACACAAACACACATGACGAAGCTGTTGTGAAGGCAAACCGGTAAAACATGTTAATAGATTCTCTGACAGAATGACAAGGAAGCTTCCGTAAAGCATAATGCAGCAATCTCCCTAACTATGGCAGAAAGGTGAATAACCTTCAAAAACCAACAAATATTTAGCAATACAAATCAATATTTGCAGTGCATTGCAGAAAAACAGAGGCTCTTTTTACAAAATGCTGTTGTGAAGACCAAGTTTGCCACATGTGCTCACAAGCATCGACATCTAAAGTGAAGAATATGCTTTCTAGGATGACATCACTGAAACTGAATACCTCACTTACACCAATCACACTCGGCATTTTCCTCCTCTTCACATCCCTGTCTCTTTGGCAAGAAAGGTCTGTGTATTTGCAAGTTCTGATGTATGTTTAAAGGATGTTGTCACACTCTGTATCAGCAGTGAGCTGATTTTTACTCTAGCTCACAATTACTTCCAGAGTAATCAGTGTCGGTATTTCTCCAGGATAAAATTGAATATTTATTTGTCTTGTTTAAAGATCTAATAAAAAACAATCCTACAAACAAAACCTGTAGGATTGCAGGTGTGGTGGAGAAGTGGGGGCCGGTGCCTATCATTGACTGATGAGAGGTGGGGAACAACCTATACATGCCACTAGTCCGTCACAGGGACACACAGAGACGCAAAGGACATTCAATGCTGCATGCCAACAATCAGAACTTAGGGCAGTGATTCCCAACCCTGGTTTTAGGTGTTTCCTTGCTTCAGCGCAAGTGATTTCGATTGACGGTCACAGGTGTTTGCTGAACTGCTATCATGTGAATAAAGCAGGGAAAGCTCTAGAACATGCAAGGCATTGTGTTTTGAGGACTAGGGTTGGGAAACACTGCCTTAGGCCAAATTAAGTATTTAGTTGAACTAATTGTCATTCTTTTGGACTATGGGAGGAAGCCAGAGTACCCGGAGAGAACAGGGTACAAGCACATGCATGGGGAAAACATGCAAACTCCATACTGGGAGTTTGGAGTTTGTGTGTTTGCAAACTTCAATGTTCTCCCAGTATGTATGGGAGAACATACTGGGAGTTTGCGTGTTCTCCCAACCCCAGGTTATTGACGTAATTTGTTTTATGAACAATGTCTGAGAAAACTGAAATTTTGTTTCTAGTTAGGGGGAGTATTATGGCATTCTGTTAACCTGGAATGTTGATGGGAAATCTATTAACATTTCCCATATCAGTCTATCATAGAAAAGTATTTTCTATGACAACTGAATTTAAGGCATCAATAAGATTAACATAAAAGACTGCCTGAGGAAATGAATCCTTCCTGAAACGAATAAACGTGATCAGAAAAAAACGGGGGTATGGGAGTGGGTGAAGCAGATAGAGGCACATACGAATGAGTTGTAAAATCAAGCCATGTTTTAAATGTATCTATGTATTTGTTTAAATGTAAGCAAATAAATGCATTCGTTTACATATATGATAACCTAATCTTATTAGGTTCATATACAACTACATACTGAAATGTAGATGTGAATAGGATTCATGGTGTTCTGGTTGTTCTAGCTCATTGGTTTGAAGCAATAATAAAATTGCACCTGCTACTGAGTTCTCTCATATGAAATTTGAAAATGTAGGTTGCTGACCTATTTTGTTATAATAAAAAAAATATTGGAACATCTTAATTTTTATTGGGAAAAATGTTTCTGTTTATCTGAAACTTTCTAGTGAAGTACGGTAAATAACAGTTTGTCGCATGGCAAATGAGCGCAACTGTGCTCTCCTCTGCTATTAAGACTTCAAAAATAAAAGAGGCTCTTCAAAGTTAAGATTAGGTTACCTAAGAAAAATAAATGTGGGCTTGAACACACTGTGAAAGTCTTTGAGGAGAAAAACATTTTTTCTTTATTTATTATCGACTTATATTAATTATAGATCGTTTTTTATTTAACTACCATTTTTAAATGTATTTATTAATTTATGTCATTTCTACGATCATAAACTAAAAATGTCAACAGGGATCTCTCCGCAGTGTGGCTTTAACTCTTAGCTCCGCCCATTGGCTCAATATGGGCCAATCACAACACACTACGAGCCCGTAGAAAAACACTTAGCCAATCGGTGTGCACTACGGCTAGAGCCGGAGCAGGATTTCTGTGTTTGTGTGTCCGATGATCAGTCAGGCTGTGTGTATGTGTGTGAGTGTGAGAGTGAGTGTGTGTGCGTGTCTGAATGCGAGCGAGTTTGGTGTTATTTTATTATTTTTAAAGGAACATCTTTGAGTTAAAACTGTGTTAGAGTAAAAGAAGGCTTCCGGAGGAGAACATGTTAACCTACCTGGCGCATACGAACTCAGATGAAGTGGTAAAGAAGTAGTTTGCTGCGTACAGCTCATGAACACAAGACGCATCTACGCAGTTTAACTAAATTCGGTTTAACATCTTGATCGACATCGGCTAACCTGAAGTTCAGATTGATTTTTTAAAATTTTGTCGTAACTAGTAGGTTTTCAAGTAAAAATGCCTTCTGTAGGTCGCTCAGGTTAGCTAATGAACTTGTAATCGTCATTTAAAAGACATCAAAGTAGCTTATTATTGGTGATAACCATAAGCTACTTTACATAAAATGCTAAAGACACTGACGAAAAAGCTGAGAAGACATTCACTCAATGAAATCCATCCTTTCCAGCTGAAGGTAAGTTGGAATCAGTTTCTGTTAGAAAACATGGTTGTCATTGCAGGGAAAACATCTGAGAAAGACATTAGCCTTAGTGGGTGCAGCTTGGCTTTACTTTAGTCAGATTGAAGTCCTTGTAATGACTCCTGCAAGGGGTAATAATGAGTTAATTACCATTCTTTCCTTTTCAGTTCTCCATTTTGCCTCGGTAATTTTATTTAAATTTTTTTTTACTTTCGTGTGTTCTCAAATCTGTAGTTTTCTCTGCCTTTGAGTTCATTACGACTCATTCAGTACCATGTTTGAAGGCATTTTCAACTCTTTTCCAGATGTGGATAATATAGCTTTTACTCATGCTTTGCTGTGTGTGTGTGTGTGTGAGTGTGTATGAGTGAGTGAAGGAGAGAGAAGGAGAGTAACACATTTGCACTCATTTTCTTCAGGCTCTATAATTGCTCTATGTGTCAAGACAAACATTGAACAACAATTTGGATCTATAGACAGACTAGAAAAAAAACAAACATAGTACTTTTAAAAACTGCTCTGAGCCATAATTATCCCAACATCTACAATTTTCCACAGCTGAACCCACGTACGTGCTCTCCTTTGTCACTGCTTGCTCAGTTTGCACAATGCCCCTTTTTTACTTAGGAGACGAGTGAATAGTGTCCTCCATGGGTCACTAACTTGCTCCATCTATACTATTGTGCATCAGCCGACTGTATGTCAGTCGCATGGCTGCCATTTTGTGCCAAATTGCTCCCGTTCAAAGGGCCCAGCCGAGGATACTGACACTGAAATCGTGCAACCTCTGTTGTCCACATTTGTTTATGTTTATGTGTTCCCACTCGGTGATATAATCATTTCCTCTGGATGATGGGAAATATGAAGTTCTCCAATGCAGATCATTATGAAAACAACCCCCTCAAACCCAGCAAACCACATTAAACTATTTGACCTTTACCAGAGACAAGATCCATACAAAAATTGGGAAAGTCTTACTGAGCACTACACTGCGAGTCGTTATTGGGTCACAGAAATGTGTCAAAGCGAGTAAATTACCACTTCTTTGTAGTACCCAAATGACAGTGGATATTTGCGACTTTTAAAAATCACTCAGCCAGTTTTTCCATGACAGGCTCTGATTAGAAAATACTTTTTCTAATCTTTGATGTGTTAAGTGCATCAAAACTGTTGAACGTTCTATTTTTCAGTGTATAACTGCATCACCCATGGCATGGACGTTGATGGACTTTTTTCAACTTGAATAAAAAACAGAAAAAAGGTTGCGGACATTATTCTGATGTGAGTAGTGAATGGAGATAATCTTGTTAATCCCTTTATTTTCTGTTAGATTCAAAACTACAGCCACTATCTAAGAGGCTGTAGTAGATTTTATCATGTTTGGCCTTTGTTAAACTGATTTAGTACATCAGACCTCAAGGAGAACAGAAACTTTGCATCGACCAGGACAAGCCAGACTACTAAGCATTGCTAAGAAAGTGTAGGTGCTTGTCCATGCAGGTTCATTGGGATGCTCTTGGCTCACGTGGCAATAGATGGAGTACAATGTGGAAACCACCACTTCATCACAGGGCTCACATTGTTCTTAGGTGTGGTCACCAATTTACCTAACAGTCATAGTTTGAGACTGTGGGACAAAATCAGAATACCCAGAAAGAACAGGCAATCTCCATGCAAAAAGACTCCACGCTTGGGATTCGATCCCAGGACCTTCTCGCTACCATGCAACCTACTTTATGTTTATTAATTTGAGAATTACAGGGTAGATGAGGATGGACTTCTCATGTTTACAAAATCCTGAAATATAGTTTCATTGGGCCATTAGACTCTGGTATTTTTAGTATTTTAAGCTATGATTTTCATGCAGCCATTTGTTTGTGCCCTGGAGATTTGACTCCTTAAAAATGAGGCATTTGCTCATACAGTTTTCATCTCTGATTGTTATTTAAAGATGATAATATTCACTTATGTGCTTAAAAAAAACTCATAGATTTTCAGAGCAGTAAAGTTGTCTTCCATTAGTATTACAATTATTCACCAATGAGCTTCATCATGTTTTACCAGACATGATGCGTATAGCTATAGTAGTGATCATGTTTTGATCCAGTTAACAATTTTATTCACTTTGCTAAAGTGCTAAGCTAACATTAGCAAGCTTACTTTGCTGTGACTGATTGATGGATTGACTTCTAATACAGTTCAGAGCCGGTTAAATGGGGCTGATTGCATGACAGTGGGTTGAAAACATGTAGATTATTAGGGAAACTCTAGATTTGCTACATCGTGTACACAGGCAATAATGTGATTTGCAAGCTGTGCACAGAAAAATAGTAATGATTGTTGCAGACTCGGCTGCAAGTGTAAACAAACAAACAAAAAAATCCATGGCCAGATTGTTTGCTTCTTGTACAACTGATATAAAATCAGTCAGCAGATCAGGAATGGATAGTGAGATTTGAGTTTACTCTTAATACTAATAAATTATAAATACTTGAACCTCAACATCTTGACGTTTAAGTCATTCCTAAAACTTTAGAAGCATGGAACAAAGAAGCATTTTACAGGTTTGCTAAAATATAAAACAAAACAATCCGATAATGCAAATGTGAATGCTACAGCTGCCGTCATTATTTATTAGCCAGTTGCCAGGACATGTCGGAGATTAATTTATATTGAATTGCAGTGGTCATTGTAATACCAGCATGTGAAGCACTAAAATTGTCAAGGACTGCATAGATGCAATATTTAGTGGACCATTGCATTTCAAATCCAATATATCCATTCTCTGCTTCCTCGTAATATACATAGTTGGCCAATTGTTGCCAATATAGTTAGTAATAGTTAACCAATGTAATATAGTTGGCCAACTCTTACTGCCCATAACCTCCACACTGGATAATGATTTCAGTGAAGTTTATAGAAAGTAAAATTTTCATAAAAAGAAAAAAAGAAAAGAGTGAGGAAAATACGTTTGTCTCAACAGATGTTGCCAATGTGACGGTCGGTACAATTATTTCAGTTGCATGTTTTCATACTCAAACCTTAGTGAATAGCCCCAATCGATTGCATGGTGTAGTCAACTCGAGTCTGTCTAAAGTGTGGACTGCAAATATACAGGTTATACAGTAGCAAACCTAAACTTTGCTGTGAGAATTCTAGAAGGTCCAACCACTTTCCTTTGTATAAATGCAACCAAAATCTCCAGTTCAGTAGACAGCATGAACAGGAGCCAGTTTGTTAACAATTAATTAACATCAATTGTTAATGTTTAAACAGCAAAACTTGGCCCATTTATTCCCTTGTACATTTATAAACCCTGATCTGGGGTTAGCATCTTAATGAAAACTATTTATCTGCACTTTGACTCAGGAGCCACATATTCAAGCTTTGCATCACAACTTTGCGCATGCTTGTGCCATGTTCTTTCTTTGCTGCTTCTGGTGCACATGTGCAGCAGTTTCTTGGAGGCTGATTTGCATGGAAGAACATCTGAAGCAGCATTAGATCCTTGTGATTTGTGCTGTATCTCAGTTTGTAAGGTTGCTCTGCCCATGCAGAGCCCACTAAAGCTGGCCTTTTATCTCGTACTTTATAAAATTACTTCCAGCAGAGAAAGCGAGCCCATTGTTCAAATATTTTCACTGATTGGGTTTTACTCCTTAAGTGAGCCCATAGTTTTTTTTTTTAAATCAGCATGGCTTACAGCAGGTTCTCTTTGATGTTGTTCCATCTTGTTCGTTAAAAGTAGCTGCTTATTGCTAAAAATGGCATACCAAAGTCGGACTTCTCTGAATTCTAGACTTCTTCTCCTGTTTCCAAGGGCTGGTTTGCACACAGATTTTAAATTGGAGTTTGGTCTTCGTGCAGCAATCCAGGCACTCGAGGTGATCAAAAATCGGCCTAACTTGAGTTAAAAATCCACATGTGTGCAAGAGAAAAGAAATCGACCATCTCTGATCTTGTACCGGTGTGTTTTGTGAGGCAGTGTCCGTGTCAGTTTGGAAGGACGGAGCAAAGCTGATATGTGTGTGAACTGGGTGGTGTGAGTACGCTTTGACATTGCCATTGATCCAGCTTAGCAAGCTGCTCAGTGATGCAGGGGGCTGACAAGGATTTCATTCAACTGTTCTTGACACACAAGCACACAACTCTTTGTCCGGGTTAGTGTGCATTAATAAAAAGTAGTTTTTTTAATGCTTAAATATAAAGATCAGAGAAGTCTGTTTAAAGCTTAAACAAGGATGGACAAAGAAAGCAATTGTTATGGGCCAAGAAACGCCGTCTCAGTTATTATATTTGACAATGTCATTTTGTCTCCGCGTTTTGTTGCATCTGCAGAACCCAAAAGGAAGCTGAACTAAAAGTGAGTGCTAACTTTGTAAAGATTAGTGTCGTATTCATCTGAGAAGGATGTCTTGACCCCAGTTTCTATTCCTCTGGGCCTTAAACATTTAATTGGTGATATAGATATTAGGAAAATAGCATTTCATGTTTTTTTTTTTGTTTTTTTTCTCAAAATTAGATTCTCTAAGAAAAAAAAAATAAGTCTTGCGTACTTAGCTATTGAAATCATTAGTAAATACCATCTATATTCTTTTTGAGTTGCCATGTGGCTCAGTGATATAATTAAATAAATAGTAAATGGTTCTTATGGTTTCTTTAAACCATAAGAAGTCAGAACTTGTACAAAACATCCGTCTGACTGCTACGAACTAAAGAACTGACGCATGCTTAGCCATGTAGAACTTTGTGCTTTTGACTATGAAAAAATAAAAAATAAGTTACTTTTCTAAATATACTTTTTCCAATGTTATTGCTTTATTATCCAGTAACACATGTACATAAATAGTTTAAAGCAAAGACGGCTGACTTGACTCCCTCCACAGAGAATGTAAGTTACAAAGAATTATTGCTAAAGAAGCTGGCTGTATTCAAGCTTGTGAATAGAAAGTTGAGTGGAAGGAAAAAGTGTGAAATAAAATGTGAATGTATGAGCCTATATAACACAAGAGCTCCTTTTTGTAGTGAATTAGTAAAAATAGATGCATAGTACCCTAATGGAGTTACTAGGCATCTCTTCAGCGACTGAAAGTTTACCTTTTAATTTTGAATATATAAATATTTTGTGTGCTAAAATGCTTTAGCACTACAGTGGAGTTTGAACAAGATACTTCCTTCTCACCTGTTTTTCATATCTACCATCAGACGACCTGTCTAACCATAAGCTGATTGTCAGTTAGGCAGGATCTTGTTTTTTGTTGCAGCAAACTGTGAAATCATGCCAGAGCAGAAACATTATCAGATGTGGGTCACAGAAAAGCACATGCAAAGTTTTCAGGTTCCCTCTTCCACAGTAACAATCCCTCCTGTCAGATGCTGCAAATATGCAACAGACACTAAGGAATGAGTCCAAAACGGCACATTGTCAAGAAACCTACTTTAAATATGCAGGAGCGAAGCTCACTGGCTGTTCGCGTAGTTGCAGTGCGTCTGTGTACCGACTTAGACTCCCGTTTATGTTGATTTAGTGTTGTGTTTTGGTCCATCAGTGTGTTTTTCACTATGCCTACATGTGAGTTGGTCCAGTTTAGAGTCAGAGATGCAGTATTACTATGACATACGCCCGTATCCTACACAAGGGTCCTCTGATCCATGAGCCTTTGAGGTGACTCCCGGGGCGAAGGAAATGCCAAATCATTACTGTCAGCTTAACTTGCTGTCAGAGGGACAGTCATCGCTCTGTGGAGAAGTTTCCAGACAGAAGCTCCAAAAGCTAAATATGGTAGAAGAAAAATGAACTCATTTCAGGGAATACACATGGCTCTCTTGAGGACATCTATAAGTACTTGAGGGATGATTATAGTTTTATTGCTACTTTCCTGCGCTTTTGTTTCTTAGAAAAGAAGAGTTTGAGCAGTTTCATTGACGATGGCTGACAATAGTTAATAGCACTTAGCAAAGACATTCCCTGCATGAAGTTGTTGCTCAGACTGAGTAATTTTTTTTATTTATTTATTTTGTATCGAAACCCCTGGAACCGTGTGGCTCAGGAAAGCCTGACGGTTGTAGAAATACCGTCCAGTTGAGAATTCTGGACATTCCAGCCTATTAATGTATATAATTAGGACGTTATTATTTAAGTATATTTTGATCCACACATATGATTAATTAACTGTGATCTGTTGTTTGGTTTACTCTGCCATGACTCACTACATAGTAAGTCTTCCATGTTCTCTTGTGACTACATACAAAATATATTAAATCTGATTTCAGACATGAAAACGGGGAAGTTTTGGCTTCGTGATGCAGCAGGACTGTCGAAACAGAGCTCTGCTGAAGAGGCTGCTAAACCAAACAGTGGAATTTCCTTTTAATATCATTTGAATACAGCCTTTGGTTTGTTGGGATTTGGAGCTTTGGCTCCTGTTCCCCCTTTTCACACGTTCTGAGAAGCTTCAGAGCGAAGAGTGTGTGTGTTTTACACACTGTAAGCATATACACACACACACACACATACACACATGCACAGATGGCAGCTGCTCAGCGAAGCCTCTGAGTGGTAATTACTGAGTGTGAGGCGCATTACTTAACTCTCAGCGTTGCATACAGCAGGCTATCTGTATTGTTTCTGCTGCTATAAAAGAGGAATTGATTTTATTTATATATATTTTTAAGCCATGCCTCTTTAGGTCGTGGGAAACAAAGTCTGCAGTTTGTCAACAGGATGACTCAACTTTATGTGTCTATTTTTATTGTGCAATAAAATCAGCTTTTGTTCTCACTGCAACATGAACTGTTGTAGATTTATTGCTGTAAAACAAACACAAAAAACCCCCCATTAAAAACAGTCAAAGAAAGGTAATTGTTTCACGTGTCTAAAATGCAGCTTGTATGTATGTAAACATTTTCTGCAAATTAAGGTGCACTCTGTACACTTTAAATTTTTTCCAGTTGCTCTGTGTATTAGTCTGGGACTACTGAACACCGAGATACTAATTCTGCATTAAGTTTGTCTTGATAGATTTTTGATCTGGGAATGACGTTACAGCTAAAGGCCGACATATAAAACTGAGATAATCGCCGCCGATTTTGTTGCTTTTTGTAATTAAAGCTGTTAGACACAGCCTCCTTTGGTGACCATGTTGCTACAGTGTGTAAAAGTACCAAAATGTAGAGAAATTTACTGGAAATTTACTAGTCATTATGAGATTATGAGTAGAGTGAATTGTTTTGATTGGTTCAGTTATACATAGACCTCCAGCAGAAGAAATGCAACTTGATTTTTTAATAATGTAATACAGTAGTAGTCGCCTGCCTTACTTAACTGTAATATGTGACAAGCTGAATGTTTTTTTTTGTTTGTTTGTTTTTTTGCTGTTTTTTTCTTTTAGATTTCCTATCATGGCAGTGGAGAGGGAGGGGAGAGTGATGACTCAGAAGGCGAGAACCAGGAGCTCGCACAGATTGATAGAGGTACATGAGCCATCTAAATCATTTTTCTTGTAAATAATGATTCACATAATTCAGGTTTGATTTTACTAAATGCACGTAGATAGTTGCATTTGGATTTTTTTTTTTTTTGACTGGGATTCTTCCTGCTCTTTCCTGCTTCAACATCTTCAGAGAGACGGAGAAATTGTGCCCTCACCCCTTTGGCCACCAGCCAGCAGCACAACCAGGGTCCCGTGTCTCCGGCCCGGTTACGACGCCTCCGCCTCCTACTAGATGCCAATCTGGACCGTCACTCATCAGAGGAAGAGCTGGAGCGGATCAGCTGCGGCGACAACAGGAAGTGGGTGTCCGGCTTCCCCCAGCGCCATGGCGACCATCACAGTAGCCCCTCCAGCGATGAAGAAGTGCGGGACCTGTGTGGCTGCCGGTCGCCCCCGGCCTCGGTCAGACCTCTGGTTGAGCCCGGTGCCGCTTGCCTGGCGGCCTCTCCCAGCCCCGTCCTGTTCAGCTCCAGTCCGCCGCGTAACTTGAAACCACCCCCAATGAGGTTTCAGCTCCAGGTGGCTCAGCCACTCGCACGGCCCATCATCCTGACCCACTTCGACCAATCAGCACCTTATAGAAAGTATCGGCACAGCTACAGCGGAGAACCGGGGAGACCCAGTCTGGACCTGGAAAAAATGCAACAGGTTAGTTTCCCAATTTGTCCTCCAAAGTCTACTAACTCTGCAGAATTACAAAGTGCAGAAGAGAAACAGATTGCTTGTTTCTTTTCACAAATTACTCACCAAGTGGGAAAGCTACTTTGGAACTTTGCAGGTTTTAGTTGTGGTTCAGCGTAGCTTTTATTTCCTTTTATAGGTGTTTAGAACCTGTCTTAGAAAGTCAGTAATGAGTAGGAGCAGCACCTTCAGTTTGAAGTCAATACAACATGTTGCAGGGAGAAATGTGCTTTTGCACACCGTTTATATGTATTTCAGAAGAGAGATATTAAGTTGTGTTATTAGTTCTGCTTTAATTCAAATTCAGACTTTTAAATTGGACTGCAGAGGCGAAGCGTTCAGTTTGACAGAAAATGAACAATAATAATTATTATTGCTTTCATATTTTTAAAACTCTGTTTATTTCAGTTAAATAAACTTTTAATGTAAAGTAAAACTTAAAAATGATCTTTTTCATCAGTTAGTGGCAGAATTGGTACATTTCTCAGATATTATTTGCTCCATTTTATGTCCGATTTTATGTATTGTCATTCCAAGTGAAGCTGAGAAAGCTTCATCTCTGTGAAATTGCTCTAATAATCGAGGTAGCAGACTGACGGTGATCTAAAAAACAAAGGAGCACACTGTTTTAGCAAGAGTTGGAGTTGCAGCCATTATCTCTTTGCATTAAAATGGCCTCCCGTGGAGGAAACAGCTGCAAAGAGTATCACCGATAACTAATAACAGTTTTCTGGCTCCTTAATGACTTCAAGTGGAAAGCTTCAGCCTGCAGTGATGGAGACTTCTGGAGGTTCAAGGTCATCTCCTCCTGAGAATAACGCTAGAGAACTGTGGTGCCACCAGTGCAGAGGTTGCTACATATTGGCAGCAAATAAGTCACACATGTCTAAGAAAAGAAAATATGACAGACTTGAAGGAAGAGAAAAGGATGGCCAGCAGAACAGTAGTCCGAACATATTTAAACTGGAAAATCCTCATTTGATCGGAAGATGATTTGCCTGTTAGAGAAAACAATGACTCAACCAGTGTGTCGGGTTGTTCTTCTTTGAAATAATAAAAATAAAAACCACTCTGTCAGTGGGAACTATAGAAGTTACGTGAAGAACCGGGATCAATGCTGGCATTTGATGTTTAAAATACTCTATCTGTTCTTAAGCATACCGCAGAAACGTGTTATGACACAAAGGGAAACTTTTAAAGGAATAATATTAACACTAAGAAGCATGCAGGACAGCACAAAATGCAAAGAAAGCCTTCCATTTCCTTAGCTGGACACTCTCCACCTCGGTGGTCCTGCTGGAGAGGGATGAAGGAGAGGGAGGGACGGACGGCAGATGTCCGCCCTCATTTCTCACAAAGGCTGGTGAGCGAGGGGAAACGACGAAGGGGTGGGAGGCAGAAGGAGAGGATTAAATAAACAAGAGAAAAACGACAGCCGCTAATGAGTCATGGAGAAGCTGGTCCGCTAATCATTAAAATCCAATAGACCTGTTGGCCCACACAGTGGACAGGACAGTATGCGTGCAGGGAGGGGCGCGGGGGAGGAAGATGCAGGTTTCAGGGCTCCATATGTCCATGCGTTGTGTTTTTTTTTTTTTTTTTTTTTTTGAGGGAAAGAAAAGATGATGGGAGACGGTGGGCAGTGCTGATCGAACAGTGTGTGTGCATCCATCATCCAGCCAGCATGTGCACATCCTCCTGCTCCTTTTGCAAGTATCCGTGTGTGTCTGTGAGCGTGTGCACGCTCAGTCAAGTGGAATGGGAGGTGCTGCTGGGTATACAAAAGGGGGCCTGCAGAGGTAGCAAGCAGACTCAGCCGGAGTTTCCCCCAATTAACCCTTTACATGAACGGTCCTGCAGGAGAAACTGGAGAACAGAGTTTAAAAAAATGCGGTTAAGGGTTGGCAAATTTCAAGAATTTGGTGCAAGAAAGCAAAAGTTTCATATGATAATTGTTCTAGGTAAATAGAAAAATATGCAAAGCTTAAAAACATTTATTTTTTTGGTAATTTTCTTACACATGTCCCCAAAGAGTTTGGCCACAGCAAGAACAAAATGCTGCATTTATGCCTGCCATAATTTCATTGAAAAAGGAAGGTTAAAAGGTCAGCGAGTTGCTTTCTTTAAGTCCCCCACTAATCCCTCGATAATCCACGTCACAGATGAGGTTGAACCATTTGTTAGTGTAATAATCCATGGAAGAGCAACAGTTTGCGTGCCAGATGCAGGTCATATAGAGTGTACACTTGATGCTCACGTTTAATGTAAAAAAACGTGTTTTAGGAGACAAAGCAAGGCGTCGTAGGCTTGAAATTTGACCCATAACTGGAGAACCCGCCGGAAGAGGCGAGCAGATTTCTGGACCAAACTGACCGTTCTTGCCTCTTTCTTGTAAACAAACATTTGAACATGTGCGATTTAGTTTGGAAGAGGGGGCGTTCATACTTTCTCAGCAGCAGCTGGGCCATAGTCACAGTCACACTGAAGACTACACCACTTGGATTTTAATTTAAGGTTGGCTGAAATTTGATCCCGTATAACTCCTGCACGAAGATCAATCTATGATCTAAACTCTCTGGTTTCGGAAGGGTTGTTTCTTGTTACATTGCAGCCATGAACTTCAATGTTTTTGTTGGGATTTTATTTGACAGATGATGACCAACACGAAGCAGCATAAATGTTTTACCAGTGAAAATCTGAAAAATGTGTCTTGCATTTGTATTTAGCCTCATTACTCAGATACCCCTAAATGACATTTCTTAAATAGTCATCTCACATTAGTCGTGTTTTTGCACAACTACATTTTGTTTCTTCTAGTATTTCTCCATTCATCAGCCCATCTACTCTAACCAGCTTTAGTCCTTGTGAGAGCGTTGCCTCAGCATGATGCCGCCACCACCATGTTTCACAATGGTGAAATGTCTGCGGGTGTAACGTGACAGAATGTGAATCATTTTGCAGGGTAGGATAATTCTACTGTTTTGGCATAGAAGACGATGATGTGATGATGTAAAAGGTGATGTGGTTGATGGTTTAAAAAGAAACAACTAAATAAATAAAAAAAAATAAAAACCGTGTCCTGATAAGTGGACAAAGTTTAGGTTTATATGAATGGACAATATGGGATCCCAGATGAAACCAGGTGCTGATCTGAACTAAAGTAAATTGTGACTCTTAATCTGGCAGATTGTTGTGACAAACCAGCAACTTCTTATTTCACAGCCGCACATCACATCTGGGTGAAATCCACATAGAAACGTACAAGAGCGTATTTTGAAACCAAGCCTCGGCAGGGAGCCTAATTTCTGTTTTCACCTTCACGTTTAGGTGGTCTGCTCTCCCAGTTGTGCCACTGACACAGAATAGATCAGGGTTGGCATGAGGTGAGGATGGGGGCAAGTGGACGGCAGTTCTCTGTCCCACATCACAACAGCAGGAGTCTTGTGTTTCCATTCTTCCCCGAGGTCCTTGGAAGCTGCCTCCCCAAACTTCAGACAATTTGATGATTGTGTGGTCCCTCCGTCCCCACTGTGTGTCTTTCTTTTTCTTTTCTTTTTGTCTGAGAATGGCGAAGCTGTGTGGACATGGAGGGCAGAGGGAGACAGGATATTGCATAAGCTCCGAGTGTTTAGTTTTAGTCAGACAGCTGGATTTACATCCTGATTCACCCTTTTGTCATGCTAAGATATCACATTTCACGACTGAAATGTTCTGAAATCTTCTGTATTCGGTAGTGTTCTGTGGTTCACTCTATGTTAAGTTCACTCCACCTATGCATGTATGTATAAATAGCATTTTTCAGAAAGCTGTTCGTGCTGCTGAACATGTCTGTTCTCCACAGAAAATGCTGCTTAAGAAGAACTGTGGAGGGAAAACGCGGACAATGAAGATTCGGGTGAGTTTCTTGCGACGACGTTTTCATAAATTAGGCATTTCCAGCTAAATTACTTGTTAAAATCACTTGGAATTTCAATTTTAAGAAACGTATCTTCTTTCTAAATAAAATTGTAGAAACAGACATGGGATCTATGCGGGGTGTTTGGCAGGAGGTTCACTACACGTAGCACACTTTCCTGGAAAAGCAAAGTAGTTATTTACACATAGTTCTACTGTCGTTTTGAGTTGGTAGTGATAAAAAGTGATCGCTTGTCAAAACTGTATATTTACGAGGTTGCGTTGACATTTTACCAAAGTTTAATGCTGCTCTCAAGAGGGGCTGCAGCTCTGTGTAAACGATTATCTGTGGGATTTTCAAAATTCTCTAAATCCCAGCTCCGCTTTTCATAGCAGCTTGATCAGAGACTAGTGCGGTGCTGCCTCTCCCCCACCTGTTGCTGCTCACTGCCAGAGACTGCTGAAAGGATGCACCTGCATTTTTCTAGCTCTCACCAAAAAATGACAAACATTACGATTTGGTATTTTTTCTGCCCACCAAAAAACTGAAAGTCATTGCGTGGAAGCTAAAAGCAGGCCAAAATATCTTTTTATTAACAGAACTATAATTAAGTGTTACAATGTTTAATTTGTGATTCATTTAGCAGCAGGTTAATGTGCTTTTATACACAACACAACCAGCTTTTCAAGTTATTTCTTCCTCCGCTTTACACTGATAATGCAGCTCTTTTTCTTTTTTTTTCTCTACAAGAAAACATACACTCTGCTCTCCTTGTTTAATTTTTGAAAGCAAATTAATTGGTTTCAGGTGAATGTAAACGCAGGCGCAGGTTGACCAGGAATGACTCTTTGTCGAGCGGGACGCAGAGGACGGTGGTTCTCGTTACGGCTAAGGTTGCTCCGTTGCCCTGTGAACAGCCGAGCCGGTCCTGTGGCCGGCTCCTTGATCGCCATCCAACTCCACACTGGGACGGCATCTGGCCTTGCCGTTCGTTCCCATGCCCTCCTAGCTGCAGAAAATCTGATAGCACCATCAGCTCCGCACCGCAGCGATGCTTTCAAGCTTCCTTCGTCAGGTTTATCACACCCAGCGACCTTTGTTGCCCCCAGCTTAGTTGCTTTAAGAGGGCGCTGAAAGCTTTGCGAAAGTGTCCTGATGGATCTGAAGAAAATCTTCACTAAAAAAAAAAAAAAAAAAAAAAAGTGTTTTGTTTTTTTTGTGTGTGTGTGTGTGTTGTTGCTGTTTGAGGGGAAGCTCGACTGGAACGAGCCTCGGCTTCTTGGCGCGGAGCAGCCCACTCCAGAAGGACGCGCAGTGTGCTGAGAGAAGTGACGTTATTATCACGTTGTGTGGGATAGTGTCAGTGGAGCCTTATCACACTCTTGTTTATGTATACACACCAACTGTGGCTGCAGCTCGTGTGCTTCGCGCGCCCCAGCTTTGTGTGTGGAGATGGAAAGCGAGGATGATCTTTGAGTGAGTGGCGGTGAGAGGTAGAGGAGGAGGAAGAGGAGGTGGAGTGCGTGCGGCTCCCTTGTGGTGTTTTTCCAGGGATGGAGTCATTTTCCATTTATAGCCTGGGCCGGCTGCGATCTGTTTAGCTCCACTGAAACACACAAGTATTACTCATTATCCTTCATTCTCTCTCACTGGTTGTGTTGTCCATGTCGGTGACGTCTGCAGGCACTGGGTCCTTTCCAGCTTGTAGATTTTTCCTTTTTATTTTTTTCTTTCCTTGTAGCTGTACACAGCAAGTCTTTGAGCTGCTTGGAAACAGTTTTTTTTTGTTTGCGCCACTCATCTGTTTCCCCGCCTTTTATCTGCAAACGCTCGATTTCCTGGCTGCGGACCAGAAGAGACACTGGAGCTGATGGGGCCCTACGTTTCAAGCAACTCAAGCATGAGAGTAGTCGCAGGGGTCAGGGAGGTCGGCAGTGGTGTGTATGAAGAGGAGGGGTCAGTTGGTAAAACAGATTTGGCTGCTTCTGACTGTTTTTTTTTGTGTGTGTGTGTGTGTGTGTGTGTGTGTGTGAGAACATGTTGGAAGCAGAACTGATGACGTCTGGAGTCAGCCGCCATGAGAAGT